AGCTCTGCTGCTGCTGTCCCTGGGCCGGGCCATCCGGAGCAGTCCCTGTGACTCTGGGCTTGTTTGCAGAACAAAGAGCTGCTTCACACACACGTCAGGAACCGTGTGTGTTGTGAGCAACGAGAAAACACTGGCACAAACCTCAGAGCACGGAAACCTCCTCACGCACAAAACAGATAAAAGGAGGAAAAACCCAAACAAAACCAACCCAAGACAGATGTGAGGGCTCTGAAGCAGAAGTATCTTACTAATAACACACAGACCTACTACAGCTTTCCTTGTCACAAGAACAAAACCTGCAACATCAAGCAACACCCTTAATTATGAAGTTATTTTGAAACCAAACGTGCTTGAATCATTTCCCCCTTTAAACACAACCAGAACGTTGACCAACAACAACCCAAGTTTTAAAACTTGGGATTTTAAAAGGGTATTAGTTTAAAATGTGCCCAAGATTGGAGCTGCCTTACATGGTTGAAGCATCCACCCACCTACCCCAGCATCCAGCCCAGAGAGGGAGCACGAGCAGGTGCCTGCAGCAATAAACTCCCACTGTTGGTCAAACGTCCAAGGTGTATCCCAGCACAAATCTCATCCCAATAAATCTGCCTCTGACAAGCAGCTGTCCAGCAGAGCACAAGCCTCAGATGCACTGAGTAAGCTGCATGGTGATAAAAAGTGCAAAATATACAGAGCCAATATTCCACAGTTAATGGCCTGGCATTTTTGTTTTAACAACCACCTCTGTACAAAGACCAGACAAATTCCATATGCAACTTAGCACAGAAAATCCAAGTTACTCTCCCTCAAGCATTTGTGTTCTGCCCTCCAGAACTGCAATATCCAACCAGCAAACTCTAGAGTGAGGTTTTTCCTGCCTCTAAAATACATTACCCAGAGCATTTTGTTTAAAGAGAGCTTTTACTATCTCAAAGATTCTACTCAAAAGCTCGTAAAACAACGACTTTGCATTTTTGTATTTCTACTTTCCTTCTTCTTTATTTCAGTCTGTATTAACCAAACAGTTCCTGGTAACATATGCTTTAACCAGTCTCCACAATATCCCCATAAATTTAATTACTACTGTCTCTAAAATGAATGAACTGAAGCACAAAGTAACTAATCCCAGTTTTTTTAAGGAGATATATCACTCCAGGACTCACATTATGAGGACACTCCAACTGCAAAGCAAATCCTAGCCTCTCTAGAGCGGGCGTTGCTTCCAAAACTACCCAAAAAAAAAGGCAAAACTTGAGAATGACAGAAACGATAAAAACTTCACAATTTAACATGTTTGAATTGCACCTAACACTGCTATTACTGCAGGACCTCCAAAGCAATGTTTATATTACATATACAGACATCACTGGCTGTAGGGCAGCTCGTGAACCGGTTTATTTTGGCTACAGCAAAGCACAACCTTGCTCTACGAAAGCAGCTGATGAACTCTCTGCTCCAAAATCAGCCTTTGGGCACTTGCCACATGGACCAGGCTACCTCCAGCTTTACTCTCCTCGCTCCCCACTGCCATTAACCCACTAAGAGAACATTTGGATCAGATATTAGCAAGAAATTGTTCTCTGTGAGGGTGCTGAGGCCCTGGCACGGGGCACCCAGAGAAGCTGCGGCTGCTCCATCCCTGTAAGAGCCCAAGGCCAGGCTGGATGGGGCTTGGAGCAGCCTGGGACAGTGGAAGGTGTCCCTGCCCACGGCAGGGATGGGGCCGGATGAGCTTTAAGGTCCTGGCAGCACCAACCCCGCTGCATTTCCGTGACTCGAACCCATCCTGCCTGGCTTTCTCGGGACAAGCACGGAGACCAGCCGCGGAAACTCGGCAGAAGCGGCGGGCGCGGAGCCCAGAGCAGCAGCAGCAGCAGCAGCAGCGGCAGCTTTTCCCAGGCCGGCCGGTCGCGGCCCGCCGGGGCTCTGACAGCCCGGGGGCCGAGCGCGGCTCTCCCGCAGCACCGGGCCCGCCGCCGCCGCCGCCCCCGGGGCTCGCCCGCGGCGCTCCCGGCGGCGGAGGCCGAGGCGGGGCCCGCAGGAAGCGGGGCCGAGCGGCGGGGCCGGGCCGGGGCAGCGGCGGGACAGCGAGGGAAGCGGCGAGCGGCGATCCGCGGCCCGGGCGCGCCCGCCGCGGGCCCGGCCCCGGCAACGCACAAAGGGCGGGGGGCGCGGCCGGCAGGTGTGAGCGGACTCACCGGGTGCGGCGGCGCCGCCGCCTCGGCGGACGGACGGACGGAGGGCCGGACGGAGCGGGGCTGAGCGGGACGGCGGCGGCGGGACCGGGAGCCGGCGGGGCGGCGGCGGCGGGGCCGGAGGGGAAGCGGAACCGCCGCGCGTGGCCACAGCCCGCGGGGGCGGGGCGGAGCATTGCCGCGGGGGCACCGCCCGCCGTGCGCCGGAAGTGAGTCACCGCAGGGCATGACGGGAGTTGTAGTCCGCTCCTTGCTGTGGGGAGTGTCTTTTATACCTGTAAACTATATCTAGTATTTATGGTTCTTTATTTATAAATATATATATTGGTTCTTTATATCTATATATATTTTAATATCTATAAATAAAAATAATATATATTATTTATATATATTTAAAATAAATATTCTAATTATAGAAATACAAATAATATATATATTTCTATATTTTTAAAATATATAATATATATTTTTTTAAATATATATTTCTCTGGACCACAGTCAGAGAAAAACAAGAGAGCCTGAGAGCATTTAAAAATTAATTATATTTATAGTACACATGAATAACATTTATATGACATGGTTTATAATAAATTATATATATATATATATATATAAAAAATGTGTGGTATAATAATTTATATTGTATCTATAAAATACATATATTTCATTTATATATGTTATATACATTTTATATTCCTCCCCATCCCTCCTCACCTCTCCGTGCTGCCTCAGCCTCCCACCCCCAACCCCTCTCAGCTCCAGCTCATCTGCAAAACCCTGACTCCCCTCCCACCCTTGTCTCCTTCCCCAGGCACAGCTTTTAAGGAGCATTTTTTTTTGTTGCTGTTTTTTGGGGGTTTTTGTTTGTTTGTTTGTTTGTTTTCTTTGTTTTTGCTTTTGGGGTTTGTTTTGTTTTGGTTTGTTTTTTGTTCGTTTTGTTTTGTTTTGTTTTGTTATACCCATTTCTTTGTGATTCAGAAAGCCTTAATTCCCAACACGGCCTTTAATGCCCCATCCCCTTTTCTATCCTTGCTCTGATTCAGCCCTTACACATATTAAGGATGGGGATGTTTGTGTCCAAGCCTTTTGGCAGTGTTTTCTTGCCAAGAACTCCTCAACACCTCGTTCCTGTCTCCAAAACTGCCAGAATTCTTCCACAGGATTTACAGCTCCTCCTCTGATTTCTGAGATCCCTCTGGGGCTGGCACTTGAATCCTCCTGCATGGCACACCTGCTAAATTCTGTGCTGCCTTAGTGACAGCAGTTTCTGCTCTGAGAGAGAGATTCACTGGCAATTTCCTTTGTAATTAACACTGCTATGGTTATCAGACTTATTTACAGTTTGTAAGGGAAAATGTGTCTGCTGTATTTACAATACAGGTGCTGTGGATTTAAAAACAAATATTTGCCACAACAAAAACCACCCCTTGTGAAGCTCTGCCATTCTTCTCATATTTTACATTAATCAGAATCAATTACTTAGGTTCAGTTGGAAAGGTGATTGACAGCAATCTTGATATATACTTTATTTCCATATTTTTCCACCTGCAGTATTTTTTGTTTGCCCCGAGTACATTCCCATTCTCTTTCCCTAGGTTTTGTCAGGGATGTTGATGTAGCTGAGGGATTCAACCTGGGATTTTCAACTGGTGTTAAAAAAACAGGCAGTGAAGTCCTGTCCCTCAGCTCTGGCAATCTGGGATGTTGCCATTCCAAGGGTCAGGCTCCAACAGAGTTACCTACAGAGCACAGGAACAAACTTAGCCCTGGAAATTAAATATCCCACTTGGAGACAAGTGCCACAGTGCTGGTCCCAGTGCTAGCAGGGCTGAACAGCCCCCCCAAAAAAAAAATATATATATAATTTGTATTTATATATTTACTATATATATTTCTCTCTGATTGTTCCCAACCTGCCACGGAAGCAGTCACAAAGAGTTCACTCTGTTGAATTCCAGCAGGAGAAAGATGCCCAAGGGACATGGATGAAAGGCTGCACACCGAGCCCTTGAAAGGAATTTTCGTTCACCCCTCGCACACACACACTATTAGCTGCTCTGAGTAATTTACTCGAGGTTTATCAGGGATAAAATGCATTTTCTCCACGCGGGGGTTACCGTGGGCTCCCAGTGCCACCTACTGACAACTGCAGACAGCACCCGAGCTCTGCTGCTCCAGAGCCTCTCGGCTTTTCCATGAGGTAATTTCCTCTCCATTTCCTTCTATTTATCAGCTGTCCTGGAGATTAAATGTCCATCTTCTAAATATTTGCTTCTAGTCACTATCCTGTCCCTCACTTTCATCTTCCAAGGGTTTCTTTCCACTCATGAAATTTTTTCAAATTTTCTAAACTCTTTCAATTCTGACCAATTGTTCATCCTGAGAAAAGGAGGTTCAGGGGAACCTTCACTCTCTAAACTCCTGACAGGACATGGAGCCAGGTGGGGGTCGGGCTCTGCTCCCAGGAAACAAGGGACAGGACAAGAGGAAAGGTTCAGGTTGGATATTGGGAAAGGCTCCTCTTGGGAAGGGCTGTCCAGCCCTGGCACAGCAGCCCAGGGCAGTGGCGAGTCCCCATCCCTGCAGGGATTTCACAGACCTGTGGATGTGGCACTTGGGGACATGGGTTGAGAGTGGCTTTGGCAGCACTGGGGGATCTTACAGGGCTTTTCCAACCTCAATAACTCTGTGGTTCTAATTAGGCCAAGAGCAGCCAATTCCTCAGAGTCATTAGCATGGGAGAGATTATCAACGTGTCCCAGGTAGGCACAGAATGTCTCTTCACAAATTCATACATAACCCATCTGCACAACAAGCTTAAAATCCAGAAATTTTAATGATTCAGTAATGTTTTTCATACCCTTAATAACCAATCCCTGAGTCAAGAAATACAAACACCACTGCAAGAGGTACTGAAAGCAAGCTCTGGGCCAGGAGGAGGGAATAGGAGCCCCAAACCCACCAATGATTGTTGCCTCATTGCCCACAGCAGTGCTTTCAGCTTTTTGAGGCTTTTTCCTACTCTCCATCTGCTTTGGATATTGACAACACATCCAAAATGTCTTCTGGGCTGTGGAAGCCACTTGTAAACACTATGAGCCAAAGGAACTATAATGCTTATGGGAGCCTTGCACCCCCTAAGATATAAACAGCAGCAGGGTGGGATCCATTCAGGAGCCCAGTGCAATCTGCAGCTGGTTGTGCTGGGTGGAGGGCAGACATTCCACATTTCCTCAGTCACTGTGAGAAGTGTCCATACTTGCAGGCAGCAGCCAAGATGAGGCCAGAGCAGAGCCCTGTGGTGAGCAGGGTCAGGGCACACACCAGGGAACTGTGCTCCCTGAGCCCCACAGGAACCCTCAGCATCGATTCCTCATATGCCTACAAAGAAAAAATAAATATATATCACTCATTTGAGCTGTTTCTTTTTGACTGCAAACGAGAGGATGAGGAACCAGACCCTGATTTAATTAGCCCTTGGCTAAAGCTTCTTCTGAGATTCGGTATCAGAAGAAGGATGGGAAATCTTTTAATTCACAGCCACTGCTGCACTGCACAGCTCAGGAAATGGATCTGCTGCCATCTGTATCCCTGGATCTCTGCTCCTACTCCAGCCACTGAGGGAATGTCTGGAATGCTGCAGGGAGAGCAGCTCCCAAGGTGAGCTCAGATCACGAAGGAGACAGATTTCTCCAGAGTGAACAACCATTTAGTTTTTTCATTGATGCAGGAAGCTGCAAAATGTTTATGGACAACAGCTACAGAGGTACCAGTGGTCTGCAGGTATCTTAAATATAGGAAGGCACATGTGTTACAACAATAACAGACTATTTTATTATATAAATTAGTCTAATTTCTGAATCTCTACACTACCATGGCACTTTGGAACATCAACCACAGTTGTTGGCCACACTAAAGATCCAACTTTCCTTGGTTTTGAACACAAAAAGAAACTTCACCTTTTCCTAAACAGTCAACCAAGTAACTACCAAGCAAACAGGAGTGGCTTTATTTTGGATGCTACTACTTAAATCTTTGCAGTTTTACCATTACTTTAGCTAGATTATCTTCTACCTTGCTACTCCTCTGAAGCACCAATGTTGTAAAGACTTTTCTTAATTTGGCCAGGGCCAATTATATCCTAGGATTCCAAGTAAACTAGTAAAGGAAAAAAAAAAAAAAGATCAGGAGAGCAGCCATATTAAAGGGCCAGAAGAGCACAATCCCTGTAAACACAACAGAAGGGCAGGGTGACCCCCACTAAAAGACAGTCAGAAAGGAAAAAAGGAGCTGACAAAGAAGGAACCATCCAGCTAGTCTCTTAATGATTAATTCCTGTTAGGAAATAATTCTAAAAATTAATCTTGAAAGGTGTTAATCACAGAAAAAAGGCAGCAGTTGTTAAATAGAACCAGAGGGAGAACTCACGGGTTTGTGTTTTGTGGTGTGCCACTGACAGGGACTGTTGGTGTCAGATGAGCAGGGAGTGTCCACTTCAGCAGGTTCCCAGCACTCTGCAGACAGGTGCCCTAGGGAAGGCATTCCTGCATCACCAGGAGCCAGGCAGGATAAGCAATCAGCCTGCAAGCTTTTTCCAAATAAGGGATCTTTTCCTCTACAACAGCTCAACAGAACCTATTCCCTGGGAGCCAAGTGGTGAAACACCTCTGCATGGCCAAAGTGACACTGGGCAGTCTTTGCTGTGGATTTTACAACTCTTCCCTTCCTGATACAGCAGGTACCCAAGAAAGAATCTCACCTGTGTGGTATCTTGCCCATTCTGTCCTTATCAGGGCAAAGAATTCCTGGTTAGCCTGCAGACCCCTCAACTTTAGCCATGTAGTTAGAATTTTTCACCAAAATAACTAAGTCCCCAAAATAAGTAAGGCCATTTGTCTTCTTGGCCTCCTGTCAGCACACAAAAGATCTCCCTTCCAATACTTTAAAACCTTCCCCATTAATCATTAATAATAAATGTTTTCCTGCTCATAACTAGTAAATGTGCCAGGAAGATTTAACACCCCTTTTCTAAGTGACCAGGTAGTCCTGCCTGTCCCTATGCTTATCCCAGAAAACCATTGCTCAAGTAAAGAAAAAGGACTTGAAAATCATTAGTGTGCTTGACTTGGCAGGAATGATTTTGTGAAGGGACACAAAATTTGTAACAAAATTATAGGGTTTCATTGTTCACATAACTTGAAATATTAATTGTAGTGGATATCAGGTGCTTGTTTCACCAGAGTTTGAGACTCCAACCATTCCAAGCTTCAGGCACAATTTCCTACATTTCCCCTTTATATAAAGAGAATGCAGCAATAGTGTTAGAAGCCATCTGAATACTTTGATTACTCTAAATAGGTGACAGTGGCTACTGAACACACCCTGCACATCACCAGCTGCCAAAGGAAAAATGATCAGAGCAGGAGCCCTTTGGCAAACCAGGCCCTGCTGGGATGGTGACAAACACGGATCATGACAACTGCCACGTCTTCCAGCTGGAAGAGCCCAAGCAGCACAGGGGTGCAATGGCAGCAGCACAGCACAGAGCAGTCTGTGACACAGAGCAGACTCTGACACAGAGCAGACTCTGACACAGAGCAGACTCTGACACCCCCCTGCCTTTGGCCAGCCCTCAGCGAGGAAGACAACGAGGTCTTTATCAGGGCCATGCCTCCTGCTTACGTTCCCGCAACTACCAAGAGCTCCATCTCAAACACAACCAGATTCGGGCTGGCCCAAGAGCATCAATGAGAATCTCACTGTGGCAGCAGCAGAGCAGCACCTCTGGGCTCTGCAGAGCCACCACGGCCTGGCGTGTCCCGCGGGCGGGCCGGTGGTAGCGCGCGTGCACGGGCACGGCGGCGCCGAAGCAGCGGGAGCAGCGCGCGTCCGGCTCCAGGAACAGCAGCAGGACAAGAGCCTCGGCCAAGTACTCAGGAGCCTCCACATCAATGACATCAGGAAATAACACTGCCTGCAAGCAGGGAGAGAAATACAGGAGCAGTTTGATGGAAATCAAAAACCATTGTCCTCCCTCATGCTAACACTGAGATGCATTTTGTGGTCAGGATGATCAAGTTGGGAATTCCAGCCTTAAGCTGTTCCAAAATACCTTTTCAAGACTGTCCTATGTGTGGAAAGTTCTTAGTGTCACTGTGCCTACAGCCAGACCTGTGAGGTGTCAGCTCAACGATGGCGTCAGCAAGGCCAGTCCTGCACCCCAGGCATGCCAAGGGCAGGAGCTGCCCACAACCTTTGCACCAATGTTTTAGACCAATCTAAGCAGATTAAAGCCACAGCCTTTGTACATCTCTCTAATGTGAAGCAAAGACTGGACAGCAGAACAGAAACCTGGGATGGAAACAAAACTGGGAAGCTGCTCAGTCCAAACACACAGCACGTGACTTAGAGCTCACCAGCACCTCCTTGGGGGTTTCCCTTCCACCTTCTGAACCCGAGGCCCTCTTACCACAGCTGATCACCTGAGGCTAAGAGAGGAGCAGCAGCTCCCTGGCTCATCACCTGTGTGTGAGAATATCAGCAGCACCAGGGGATGCCAAGCAAGCTGAGTTACAAAGAGACACAAGAAGATTATATGGTTTGGCACCTCCTTCCAGGAATTAATCACCTTGCTTCAACGAGCCAGAAAATGACCAGACAATACAAGGCCCCGAGTCCTCACCTGACTCAGTGCCAGAGCTCGTGGTGCTGGGGCATTACCTTTGTCAGATTGTGCTGCTGCAGCGTTGCCAGCTCGTAGGGATCCACGTAGATTCCCGGCGGCAGATGCATCTGAGCTGCCACTGCACATCCTCCTGCATCCTCCCCCAGCTCCACCTTCACCAGCAGGTCCCTTCAAACAGCAACAGGAGCAAAAAACTTACACCCACACTGCAAAAGTGTGGCACAAGACCCCCGAGAGACATTTCTCAGAAGAGATGAGCTCTCACACCGAGTGCAACTAATTCTGACCACACTTCCCTGTCCAGCCTTATTAACCTCAACCCCACATCCACGGCCAAAATGAAGTTTCACTTCTTTGTTAATGTCTCAGAACCACCAATGGCCTCCAAAAAAGTTTTAGAAAGGGGCCTCCTATTTTCCCTCCACTGCAGCTCGTTAATCCCTTGATCCTGTTAATGCACTCCTGACACATTCCCAGGGATCACAGCCCAGAGAGCTGATAGGGCTGCACAAGAAAAGAAAAGAGGCTCTTCCAGCAGAAAATCCCGTGGCATGTTATGCTGATGGAGGGCAGGGTGAGGACTCACCTGTGAAACCCCTCTTTCAGGAGCTCCTGTGTGACAGTGGTGTCCCGACAGGCTGCCTGCACATCTAAGGTGACACAGAGCCAAAAGTGTAACAGCACAGCGACCACAGGGGCTGCAAAAACTTTATAACTCACAAACACCTCATCTGCAAACCCCTTCCATGAAGAAGGGAAGAAGTAATTGACTGCGATCAAAGCAGAACAGATTTCTTGGTTTGGGTTGGAAGACACCTTAAAGCCCATCCTGTTCCAACCCTCCGCTTCGAGCAGGAACCTCCCCGGAACCAGGGCACTCCAGGTCTGTCCTTGAACACTTCCAGCCACAGCCTCTCTGGGCAACCTGTGCCAGAGCCTCCCCACCCTCACAGGGAAGAATTCCATCCCAATATCCCATCCATCCCTGCCCTCTGGCAGTGTGCAGCCACTCCCCCTTGCCTGTCCCTCCACCCCTTGTCCCCAGTCCCTGTCCAGCTCTCCTGGCGCCCCTTTAGGCACTGGGAGGGGTTCTGAGCTCTCCCTGAATCCCTCCCTCCTCCAGGTGAGCCCCCCCAGCTCTCCCAGCCTGTCTGCAGAGCCCCGCGGTCCCCGCGGGTGCTCACGGAGGGCGCAGAGCAGCGCGCCCAGCGCGGCCCTGACCCGCACCGGGCCCCGCCGCCCGCCCGCCATGGCGGCGCTCCGCACGGCCGCGCGGGCTGCCCCCGCGCCGCCTGACCGCGCGGGGCCCGCCCACCCCTTGCTCCGCGGCGCCGTGTCCCGCAGGCTTTCCTGCGGGCAGCCCGAATGGGGCCTTCGGCGGAGGGGGCCTTTCCCGCTGGGGCTGGGCGCGGCGGCGGAGCCATGGCAACCGCGCGGAGAGGCGGGCCCGGCCCGGGACAGCGGCGGGAGGAAGGGGAAGGCGGAGAGGAAGGAGTGGCTTTGTGCGCCGCCTCAGGTGAGGGGACATGGCGGGAGTTTAAGGGAGACAGAGACATCCTGGAGCGGGGCCAGCACAGGCTGCGGAGGAAGGGCCTGGAGCATCTCTGTGCCCAGGAAAGGCTGAGGGAGCTGGGGCTGCTCAGCCTGGAGAGGAGCCCCAGCTGAGAGGGGCCTCAGCCCTGCCTGTGCCTGTGTGTCCCTGCCTGTCCCTGGCTGCCCCTGTGTGTCCCTGCCTGTCCCAGTGTGTCCCTACCTGTCCCAGTGTGTCCCTGTCTGTCCCTGTCTATCCCTGCCTGTCCCTGGGTGCAGGCAGGGCCAGAGCAGGGCTCAGGCTCTGCTCCGGGGGCCCAGCAATGGCACCAGAGCCACGGGCAGGGACTGAGCCCAGCAAGTTCCACCTGGACACGAGGAAGAACTTTCCAGGGCAGTGATGGAGCCCTGAACAGACCCAGAGAGGGTGTGGAGCCTCCCTCACTGCAGATATCCCAGAGCTGTCCGGACACAATGTGTGCCATGGGCTCTGGGATGGCCCTGCTGCAGCAGGGAGGTGGCTCCAGTGACCACTGTGGTCCCTCCCAGCCTGGCCCATCCAATTGTCACTATTAAGGACACTACTGCATGTTTGAGCTCTTTCCTGTGTGATTTTTTTACAAAGGAGGAAGTGTTTCCAATTCTGCCTCAAAGTAACTTTTCAACATTAATGTGATTTTTCTTGATGTGGAGAAACCCATTGATTTTTTTGGGGGTAAAATATGTTACTTTGCCTTACTGCAGTCTGGAAATCACCTTCATGTTTGACATATTTTCAGTCATTTAAAACCAATTTTTATTGGTTTTAAACCAATACAAATACTAGCTTTTAACCAATTTATTTTATTCAAAATAAAAGTAAAAATAAAACACCTGTACTCAGTGCTGTCCACTGAGCTGGGAAACAGGATCTGCAACAGATTTGAATTTTTAAATCCCCTCTAATTTAATTTCATAATTCATTTCCCTGGGCTTTAAGGCCCATTGTGACCCAAAGCACTCTGGGGTTCTGTGATTTTGCTGAAGTGCTGACAACAAAGGCAGCACGGAGAGACTCTCGCAGCTGCTCTCCTTTCCCGTTCCCCAGGGAGCGCTGCTGCGCGCTCGGGCGGAGCCGCGATGACTTTCAGCGCTCAGAAATGCGGGGTCAGCTTCCAGCCGCCATCCATCGTCCTCATCTACAGAGACAACAGCCAGGACAAGACTCGCCAGCGCATCATGCCCGTCAGGAATTTCTCCAAGTTCTCAGGTGAGGGGCATTCATTCCGCCTGCATTCATTCCGTGTTTGCCTCCAGCTGCACGCACAGGAACCCATTGGTAGCAGCATCTGAGTGCCCTCCTAGCAGCGTGCAGGGAGGGGCTGTGCTGGGGTAATGTTGTCTCCCCGAGGAGCCCAAGGCTACATCTCAGCCTCTCTGAGCATGGAGGGCTTGGAGAGACCCCTGGAGAGGGTTTGGGAGAGGATGTGTCAGTGGGAAGAGGTGTGCTGGAGCTGCAGGCCTGTGCTGGCTCTCCCCAGACTGCAGCAGGGCTGCCGAGCAGCTGAAGAACAACCCTCGGCACAAGGCCTACCTGGAAGGGGTCTCGCTGCGCCAGCTCCAGAAGCTCTACAGCTTGCTGAGAGGTCATTTGGAAGGACAGAGCCTGGCTGAGAGCTTGGAAAAGTTCCAGCAGGAAGAGACCATTGACCCAGAGGAGGATATGAACAAACTGGATGACAAGGAACTGGCCAAAAGGAAGAGCATCATGGACGAGCTCTTTGAAAAGAACAGGAAGAAGAAGGATGACCCTGACTTTGTTTACAATGTTGAGGTGGAGTTCCCCCAGGATGAGCAGCTGGAGTCCTGTGCTTGGGACACAGAGTCAGATGGAGAAATCTGATTCCAGACGAAGATGGGCAGTTCGGAGACAAATCTGTGTCCCAGCAGAGAGAACAATGCCATCATATGTTGGCTCAGGAGAACTTGAGGTGCCACAGCAATCCCAGGCTTAAGTGAGCTCTGTTTAAGAAGCCAGACTTGATTAAATGGAAACTGCATAACTGAAATTGTTGGCTGCCTTTAGTCTTTTCCTACATAAAATAATTTTAAATTATTTAATATTTCAATTTTTTACATTTCAGTCAGCTTTGGCTGAAAATGAAGCATTAAATATTCATGTCCTGAGGACACTGTTAAAGCTGTACTGTACAAATAGGGTGATTATTATTGCCTGTTGGGAAGTTAAATATGTATCAGTCATTCTGGATAAATCAACTCTGCATTGAGAATATTACTCTTACATTTCTCTAGCAATGCTTAAATCTTCAGTTTTAGCTTGCACAAAAATACATCCTTACATGTAAGAGAAGGAATATCTTGAAAATTAATTAGTCTTGAAAGTACTTTTGAAAACACAGTGATTTCAAACTGCTTCAGTGGGATGATTGGATCCTTACACTCCTGGGTAATGCTTCCTCATAAGTGCTCAGTTCTGGGAGAATGTGCCTAAAGTATCTGAAAAACCAGAGTGGTAGAAGATCAAAGGCTGGGGGTGGTTCTAAAGTAAGACAAACTCATCCCACGGAAGGTTTTAATCCTGCTGTCTACCTTGCCTGGTCTCTACTAGATCAGTCCTGCTCTCAGGTAAGAACTGGAGGACTAAGATTAGGATTTTTTGGGAAATTTTACTACTCCAAAAGCTTCCTGGGTTTTGGCTTTCTGAACCCAGGCAGCTGTGAGGGCTGTGGGTGAGATGGACCTTCATCCCAAATGGAGTGGCCTCAACAAACTTCTGCCTGACATAACTAAGAGGAGTGGCTGGAGGAGCAGCTGGAAGAGCTCTCCTCCTACAGCCTAAAATGAGTGGCTGCTATGAAAGACATGAAGCAAGTGTCAGTTAAGCCACAGTTAAGCTTTGCTGTCACTGGAGAGGATGAGGGAGCTCACACTTGGCCAAGGAGGTCTTCAGTCAGGAGAGAAATGAAAGCTGAGGCCTCACTTGCCATAACTAAAAAAATGTAAAGGCTGACTCAGCTCTCCCAGAACCGGAAAGGGCATGCAGGGGTCTGGCACAGGCCTTGCCTCCACAATTGCAACATAACACCACAGAAAGATCTCCCACTTGGGAGGGAGAGGGTCCCCGAGAACATTTCCTCCACTTCCAGCCTGCCCCCAGCTTCATCCTGACCAGGACATGGCCTGTGCCCAGCCCCAGGCATGGCCTCCTCTCCACTGAGGGCTACATGAGGCCTGAGTGCCTGGATTGTGAGGTTCGTGCTGGCCTGCTCCCCCAGCCCACCCCAGACCTTCAGCAGGGAGCCATACTGGTCTTCCCAGTTTGGGATCCTCAGGGAACTTGGCAGGAAGGCACTTCACAGCCAGCTTTAGGTCATGCATATAGACATGAGATGAGACAGATCCCAAAACAGTCCCTCAGCAGCCTCCTGGTAGAGCACATCCTACCAGCCACAGCCCCACAGCCCTCTGCACTTCACTCCCACTGATCCTGACCTGCCTGGCTGCTCACCAATCCAGACTGTGACATCTGCATTTGCATGGAGAACGCTGTGGGACTCTGTGTCCAAAGCCTTGCTGAGCACACGGAATCCACCACTCTCCCCTTGCCTACAGATCCATCCATTTCATCTGAGAGGAAAGCAGGTTGGGCAGGCATAACCTGGTCTCAGCAGTCCATGCTGACTTCTTCCAACCACCCTCTTTTTCTAGGACTGTGCTCCAAACAAAGAACATTCATTCCACGGTTTTCCCAGCAAGAAGGTGTGTGGTATTCACATTCTCTGAACAGAGAAAGACATGATTCTCTCTCCCAGGATTTTTCCTGGAAAGCTGTGAGACGCAGTGAAAAAGCTCAGAGAAAGAAGAAAACAATTCTTATCTCTATTTACTGCACCTGTTGTTTGGCACATGTGGGATGTGTTATGGAGATTGTTTACCAAAGAGGGATTTGTTAATTGGACACTGGTGATGGTTGTTTGGATGGATTGACCAGTTGGGTCAAAGCTGTGCCATTACTGGAGACAGCCACGGGTTTTCTTTAGTATCTTTTTAGTATGATATAGTTCTAGTATAGTATTAATGTAATATAATTTAGCTTAATAAAAGCAATTTATTCAGCCTTCTGCAACATGGAGTCAGACCTCGTTATTCCCCCTGCAGGGGTGTCACACTGCTCCAATAAAGGTGACTGCCCCATTCTCTCTAGGATGGCCTTTTGGCTGTTTCTGAAGCTGGGTGAGACCCTTGGGTTCTCCAGTCACCAAGGACCTTCCCTGATCACCATGGCCTTGCAAAGACAGTGAAAGCAGCTTTGTAAGTTCACCTCAGAGCGGAATCTCCTCTTGCTGCCTGCACAATCCCATTCACATCACAGCTCCAGCTGAGCCATGGCTTTCCAGGCACCATGATCAGGGAATGTTGAGTATCCCCATCAGCGCCATACAATTAAGAATCCCTCCTTTTTATCCACGCCCTGGGCAGTGCCAGGTGCCTGGGTTCCTCCCTACATGTTCTCCCACAGCTGCACCCGACACCCCACACCGGATGGAGCAGCAGCATCGGCCATGGAGGTGGAGAAGGACACACATCCCCCTCCAAGCCCAGCCCCAGGGAGAGGGGAGCTCACAGGGCACCCACTCACCCTGCCAGCGGGGAGATGCCGGAATGCAGCTGGGGGACAATGCAGGGATGTATTTATAGGTCACTGCTGTCCCCCAGGGTGCAGCTTACGGGCAGAAGAAAGGTTGAAATAAGCTGAGGGATTCCCCACTTGGGGCCTGTTTTGGTTTTGGCTATTTCAGTCTAAAACTGGGGCAGAAAGCGGCCATTTCCGAGCCAGATCTGACAGATGGGTTTCCAGAGCCTGTACAGCACTCAGCCCCAGTGGAGCTGCTGGCTGCTCTAGCAGGGTCCGTCCATTTTCCAGCCTTGCACAGCCACCAGCCACATCAGGCTCCCCCATAACCCCAGTCCCACACCCGTGCCTGGGACTGGGGTCCTGCTGCCAGCCTTGGCTCCCCTGCCTGCACCATCCCCGGCATCCTCCCGGCTTCAGGCCAGTCCTGGGCATCTCCCTCCATCACCTCACAGGAAACTCCACTGGGCTTGATCCCCGGCACGCCCCACATCACCGACTGAGCCCGTCCACACCCAGGCAAGGACAAGCCCCCAGAATTACCAGCCCGACGCTGCTGCACACTTCCCTGTGCCCTGTTCCCGTTAAACACGTTTCACTAAAAAAATCCCAACAGTGCCACAGGAAAAAAGCTGCTCCAGTTCTCAGAAGGGCTTTTGAGTTAGCACAAACCACCACCACTTCTCCTTTCCCCTCAGTGACCCCCGAGGAACAGAGCAGCACTTCCCCAGGTAGTGCTTGCTGCTCTGGGAGTGGCAGAGCTGCTGTGAGCAGAGCTGGGTGGAGGAAACCCCCGGGCACTGCTGGAGAAACCGCCTGCAGGAACGGCGTTTGCACAACAAGGAGGAAGGATTTCTCTTGTGTCCTTTGTATGTTTAATCCAGCAGTCCCTGGAGAAACATAAAGCCATGATAAAATATCGCTGAGGGATATAATTTACTCTCCTGCTTTACAATCGATATTGTTGCGACTTGGGCTGTTTCTAATGGACTTTCTAACCCAAACTGTGGCTTACTGAAGAAACAACACCCCAAAATGTGTCTTTCAGCCCTGCTGACAACGCCTGTCTTTATCAGCACACACACATGTTGCATGATCAGGGTTGCCTGTGAGTTTGGCAGTGCTGACAAGAGCAGTGTGGAAAGCTGTGGCTACAGAGCTTTCCACAGTGCCCGGGTGATGTTTGCCCCAGCCTGGGCCACTTTGTGGAGGCTGGTTGCAGATCTGCAAGACATTTCGAATTTGCTACATGTGGGAATAAATAAAAAAGGAGCTGCTGGAAGGTGTGGGGGGGAAAGCCGTGCTGGAGAAAACTGTCACAGAATCCCAGAATTGGGATTGGAAGGGACCTTAAAACCCATCTGGTTACAGCACCTTCCTCTAGATCAGATTGCTCCAAGCCCACTCCAACCTGGCCTTGAACACTTCCACGGATGGGGCATCCACAGATTTTCTGGGCAACCTGTCCTTTCAGCCAAGGAATGTTTGATGCCATGTCCACTCAGCTCTCACCAACACCAGCCAAAGTTTTCTGCTGAAGACACGTTCCTTGAGGATTCCCAGCGCTCCATCACCAGACACAGCCCTCACCCTTTGGGTACCATTAGGGCAGGAATGGCAGCTCTCCCAGCACCTCCTGTCCTGCATCCATCATGTTTCCATCTCGACCACCACAGAGGGGTTATCACCTGTACTCCTGACCACCCCCTATTATTGAATATTCCCGAGCCCTTCCTCTTCCTCAGCCATTAGTAAGGACCGGACACCCCACACCGGGTTTTCAGCATTTTCAGCAGCTTCTCCTTGAGCATGAGGAAGACGACAACAAAGGCCACCAGGAGCGTCAGGCAGGTGGGCAGAGCCAGCACCAGGTAGAGCAGCGCCAGGTCGGCCGTCTGCCATCGGCAGCTCCTCAGGACGGGCTCGGGCAGCGCGCCGGGGCTCAGCGCGTGGGAGCCGTGGCTGCAGGTCACCTCCCGCCCGTCGGGGACGCGCAGCCCCTCGGCCTGCTGCAGGGCGTCCCACCAGCCAAGCGTGCAGCAGTTGTAGGGGTTTCGGCTGAGGTAGATCTCCCGCAGGCTCCTGCCCAGCGGCACCTGCGCCACGTCCAGCGGCAGCGCCCGGAGGCAGTTGTCCCGCAGGTCCAGGCTGCGCAGCCTCAGCGTGCCCAGCGAGGTGGGGAACGCGGACAAGGAATTCCCCGAAAGGTCCAAGTGCACGAGGCTGCTCAGGGCAGAGAAGTCCACGGCGGTGGAAGAGAGGCTGGTGTTCCTCAGAGACAGCACCTGCAGTGTCAGGACAAGGTCCTGCAGCCACCCCAGGTCCCCAGACAGCGCCTGGCGGTTGTCAGAGAGGTCCAGATGAATCAGAGATGTCCCCTGGAAGGGGCGGCCGCCCATGCTCTGCAGACCGCAGCCAGCCAAGGAGAGATGGATCAAGGTCTCTACACCCCTGATGTCCACACAGGCGAGACTCTCGGCCTCACCTGGCTGGGGACAGAGGTCAACCCGGTTACGGCTGAGATCCAGAGTAGTGATCTTCCTGGTGTGGGCAAAAATCCCAGGAGGAAGAGCCTGCAGCCTGTTGGTGCTGAGGTTGAAGAGCTGCAAGCTGGGCAGGATGTCCCCAGTGCCCACCTTCACCCCCAGTTCCACCAGCTGGTTCTGGCTGAGGTCCAGCTCTGTCAGCATGGGCAAGGGGTCCTCCTCTGACAGGTGAAATGCCTCCAGGCAGTTCTGGTTGAGCTTCAGGTGGGTCAGGGAGGGCATCTGGGCCAGGAAATCATCTGGCAGACCCCAGACCTCGTTCTGGCTCATGTCTAGGAGGCGCAGGGAGGAGAGGTTGCTGTGGCAGAGCTCGTCCCAGAGCCTGACGGTTGTGATGTTGGTGGAGTTGCCATCAATGATCAGGAACTGCACGGTGACGTTGGCCAGGGAGGTGCCATTGGGGAGACGCTGGTAGAAGCTCATCCTGTTGTCCTGCAGCAGCAAGGAGCGCAGCTTGCTCCTCTGGGGCAGCACAGGGAAGAACAGGAGGCGGTTGTGGGACAGGTCCAGCACCTCCAGCTCAAACAGGTCATCGATTTCCAGGGTCAGAAACCACTCAATGACATTGTTGCTGACATTGAGCACCCTGAGCTGGGTCAGGTCAAACCCTATCAGACATGGGAGGTAGTTGTAGGCTATGTTGAGCCTCTGCAGCCTCTGCAGCCCTTCAAAAGCATTGTCAATCTCAAAGATGTAGTTCTTCTCCAGGTTCAGCTCCAGCAGCTCTGTCAGGTTTGTGAAGGTGGATGAGTCCAACCTCATGATGATGTTCCTGGCCACAGACAGGGACTCCAAGGAAGAGAGGTTTGAGACTAAAACTGATACCATGTCTTCCCTGAGCTGGTTTCCAGCCAGATCCAGCACCCTCAAGGCCGGCAGAGCAGAAAGGGCAGCGGCTGTCAGCGAGTAGTTGGTGAAGAGCAGGTTGTCTGTCAAGGAGAGCACCTCCAGGCCTTGGCTGCTGAGGAAGGCACCGGGCTCAATGAGCTCCAGCCGATTCCTGGTCAAGCTGAGATGCCAGAGCTGGGGATACAGGAGCAGAGAGGCATTGCCCAGGACCTGGATAGTGTTGTCATCAAGAAACAGCTCCTCAGTATCGCCTCGAAGGTTTGCTGGGATGGAACTCAGCCGTCTGCCAGTGCAGTCCATGATGCTCTGCATCTGAAGGAAGAGGAGAATATATAACACCACATGGGAGGCAGGAGATGAAGAGGGAGAAGTCTGGGAAGCACAGTCAGGGGGAGGAGGTCGCTCTTTGGTTGTAGCCTTGGCACACCAGTCCACTCCAAGCCAGTAGCTGGGATGGAGAAGGTCTGGAGATGCTGAGCTGCCTGGGCTTTGCCAGGCAGGACAAATCATTCAGAGGGGTGAGGGTTCACAAGAAAGGACTTACAAGCTCACAGCCCCCAGGAGATGGTGCCCAGGCTGCATCCATCCTGCTTTCCCATCCCACTGCCAGGAGGAGAAGAAGCAGGGAGAGACCAGAGAGCGGGGCCTCCATCTCAGTGGCGGCACTCCTGTGGAGAGGGAGGCAGAGGTGAGGAGGTCAGAAGCTGCAAACTGTTCACCCCAAAAGGCCCAGGTGATCTGGGCCACCATGAGCTGCCCATGGAAGAAGGGGCACAGGGCTTTGGCACCACCCAGCCCAGCAGAAGCCCTCGTGGGGCTCCCCCAGTTTGAGCCTGGAAGGCAGAGGACGAGCAGGGACGGGGGTGGCAGCTCAGTCCCGCCGGGGCAGCGCACAGGGGGAAGGCACCGTCACTGCTGCACAGCTGCTCGTGAAGGCCATTGAGCTGCATCCTTCAAACAGGGTGTCGCCCCAGCAGGGCTCATGTGGCCCCTCTTGGCACCAAACCGTCCCCCAGGGGACACCAGCCCACCCCTCACCAAGTCCCCCCAGTGTCCATCCCTGCTGGTGGCTCTTCAGGGAAGCGGAGGCTCTCCAGCAGGAGCTGCCCCCTTACTGACCTGGCGGGAGCGGAGCTGACGGCATTTGCATCTGGGGAAAAGCTGAAACTCAGGCAAATGAGCAGTGAGGGCTCGGTGAGTGTTTGACACACGGCACTTTCACAGCTGCCACTGCATGAAGGAGAAACAGGGTTATTTTGGGCAGCCCAGGTAACCAGAGCCTCGCAGCACAGAGGGAGCAGGGCATGTCCTGGGCTGTCTCCTTCCTTCGGACAGCCAAAGTGTTGAGCTGGTACCTTATCAAAGCAGGATTTATTACTCTGGGGGAGATGGAGAGGCAGTCCCCTTTCCCCAGGCTGCAAATGACACACAGGACCTTTTGCCCTCTCAAGTCCTTGGAGTCCAGCAGCAACTCATACCCAGGCATGGTGGCAGGAGAGGCACCCTGCTGTCCTGGACCTTGGTCCTTGCTGCACCCAAAGAACACCAGTTTTGATTCTGGCTCCTGAACCCCTCTGCAGAAACTCCCACTTTCCTTCACCCAGCTCAACACTTCTAAGCTTCTTCCAACACCAGAAGCACCTCCATCCTCCCAGTGCTCCCCGGAGCTGGTGGGGTGGCCCCTGTCCAGCCAGGAGAGGAGCCAGCAGCCCCAGCAGGAAACCCTTGCCCGCAGCCCTACACCAGAGCCCACATCCAAGAGCTCTGGGAGCTCCCGGGGTGCTCCCCACACCCCACACCAACCCCGGCATGGGCCCACGCAGCCACAGCTCTGCGAACACGGGCATTAGTGACACACAGCCGCCACAGGTCCCCAGACTGGCACAGGGAGGTGTTTCCTCCAGCACAGATATCAGGGGCAGTTACTCACCGCGTGGGCTTTGGCACGGTCCATCCTGCGACCCCTCAGCTGCGCTCTGGGGTTCTGGGGACAGGAAGGTGTGACCCGTGGGGTCCATGTGCCAGGCAGGGGTCCGTGTGCCAGGCAGGGGTCCCTGTGCCAGGCAGGGGCCGTGTGCCAGGCAGCCCTCGCTGAGCACCAATATAGCCTTTGCGGAAGGAGCCAGCGGAAACTGCAGTCACATGGAGGCAGCGAGCGCGGCCCAGCTCTCGCTTACCAAGCACTGCACTCCCAGCCCGGGTCATGCACCCGCACACGGGCAGGAGGAACCACGGGGCCCGGCAGGCAGCGAGGGGTACAGGCTGGCACACAGCTCCTGGGGACCAGCCAGCACTGGGGACAAGCCTTGCGTGGCGACTCCTCCACACAGCTCCAGCAGCAGGAGCCCCGCTCGGCGTTGCAGCCCACAGAGGTGGTGATCGGGGGTGGTTCAGTCCTGCACAGCCTGCAGGATGGAGAAATGCCACCCCTGCATGGCACCTATTCCCTTTGTGTCCCTCCAGCGCCCAGCTCAGGGGTTTGACAGCAGCCAAGGGATGTGCATCCCATGGGGGAAGAAGGTGCTGATATTTCCTGTTGCATCCCAAGGCTGGACATGTCCCAGGTTTTGAGTCCCCAGTAACTTTGGCCTGTCCCTCACATTGTCTAAGTGAAATTCAGGATGCTCCTAACCCCCTGCTCCCAGACCTTTGGGTGTCCTGGGGTTGGTTGGGATTTCAGCAAAGCCAGCACCCAGGGCCCGAGTCAGAACCAGCCGGCTGCAGGAACCTCCTGAGTGCTAGTCCCTGTGTGGAAGTCAGCAGAAATGGCTTTTCCTGCAGCTGCCAGGAAACAAAGATCCACATTTCCAAGGCAATATGCACAGGGAGCTCCCCTTCCTCCTCTGCCCCATCTACCCCCGCTCTTCATCTCCCCACTCCATGTCTTACCCTTCCCAGGGTCCTCACCTCCAAGTCCCCAGCAAACCCAGCCTCTGAGAAGGAAAGCTTTGCTCAGGTCTACCTAGCTGGGAAAGGGTTCAAAACTATGGAGAAAGGATCCAGCCCTGCAGCAGAACCCTGCAGGGATCAACAGGTCCATGCTCCACATGCCATGTGTTCCATGGTGCCAATGGGATATTTGCAGAATTAGGAGATGAGCTGCCAGACCACATGGCCTCCAAACTCCTGAAACCAGCAAAAATGACCAGGGACATCATTTTCTTGCCTTACCCCTAAATTTCATTTCTTCTCTGGGAGGAGGCTGACTCTCCCTTGTCACTCACAAAAAAGCCCTGTGGTTTCATTTCCTCCATTTTCAAGGAAGTTTGATGTATAAAAATCAAGAAGGAGAAGAGAGAAGCAAACAGGAGCAGCAGAAGCTCACAGAAGGGCAAAATTCCCATGGCATTGCTCAAGGGCACACAAAAGGCTGAGACCAGCTGATGACCATAAACTCCTCATCCCAAACCCTGCCACGAGCCCACACTCAAAAATCTCACCTGGTGCTTGGAGACACGGGAGCTGGCAGAGCTGTAACACTTGGGCATCCTCAGCGGTGACCACACTCTGCCCTCTGGATCGGGAGCTCTGGGAGATCTTCTGATGAGATTCCATTTGGTGATGCCCTGGGGGTCAGACCAGCTTCCTCCTGCAGCCCAGCAGGAACGGCAGAGAAGACAACCTGCTTCATTCCCTGCCTTGCCCCCTGCCCGTCCCCAAAGCCAGGGCAGTGTAACCCCAGCAGCTCCACGGGCTGGCAGAGCCCCTGCAGGGCCCATCCAGCTTTCCCCCACCCCACTGTTCCTGGAAAGCTGCCCCACTTCAGGGCTGACCCCACGGCTCCGTGCTGGGGCAGCAGTGCTGCTGCTCTTCACACTTTCCCCACATCCTGCAGCCGGATGGTTCTCAAAAGGTCTTGAAGCTGCTGTTTGGTCCCCTCCTTTTCCTCTCCTCACACCCCCACCCAGTCCTCTCAGTACGGATTGGATATGTGCTTTGAGAGGGGGTAATTTACTTTTTAATACCTGCACAGTGAAGGGACAGGGATTGAGCTGGCAGGAGCTGCTCCTCTGATCAGCTCTTCAGGAAGCCCCAGTGCAGCTCCATGGCACGGGTGGGTTAAACTGAAGGACATTCAGCTGCTTGGAGGCATGTCGAAATGTGCAATTCCTGCAGCTGTAGGAGAGGACTGGGAATCCCCTTATGGTTTTACACCCAGTGAGCTTCTTCCGTTCCTCCCACCTCCTCCTCCTCCAAGCAATCTTTTTCCCTTAACAACCTTCAAATTGTCAAACACAACCCAAGAGCAAAGCTGTGATAAGAGGGCAGGCTCCTGGTCTCTCCTGGAATGCACCCAGCAAACAGCAACCCCGTCCTGAAGATGTGTTTTCCAGCAGGAAATGCGATTTATTCCCAAGTGGAAGCACCAGAAGGGTCACTCATGGTTCACACAGCAGCAGGACCTGTTGAGTGGGGGAAAAGGGAAACAGAAATATTTCTCCATGGGCTTCTTTGACTCCCACTGGGATGAAGAACTGGCAAAAATTTAAAAAATGGTTCTGCAAGGGATGATGGTGCAAAGCATTGTTAATTTAATTTATTTTATTTAATCACTTGCTCAGGATAAAACAAGGGAAGCCTGAGGTCTCCTGTATCTCAGGAGCTGCCAGCCACATTAGTTGCCTTTAATTTAAGAGGAACTATGAACACAAAAACAGAATTTGTTCCATGGGCAAAAGGGAAAAGCTGAAATGGACAGCTCAGTGCCTGAAGTTTAAACTTGAACTCTGCTGAACTTCCCAAAGGGAATTTAACCCCAGGGATAGCTAGGGATGTGTCCCATCCCAGGGTGGTGCATTGCTGCACAGGAGTGTGGGCTCAGAGAGCCCCAGCGCTGCAGCAGGGCTGGAGCTCTGCAGGAAGCACAGCTCCCCTCGGGGCAGCTCCTGCAGGGGAAACCAAGGGACAAAAACCAAGCATTTATAATCAGCCTCAAAACCATCTTTTCCCCCAAGCTGTGCCTGAACCACCTCTCTGCTGCTTTACCTGGGTCCAAGGACAGGCACGTGCCAGCTCTTGCATCTGTCAGTAAAGCTCCAGGCTCTGCTTTTGCAGCAACTCGTGTGTCTGGCAGCCTCTGGAGCCCAGCACCCTCCTCTGGGGGGACTCCATTCCACCCCCTGCCATGGGCAGAGACACCTTCCACTGTCCCAGGCTGCCCCAAGCTCCCTCCAACCTGGTCTTGGACATTCCAGGGATCCAGGGGCAGCCACAGCTTCTTGGGCAGCCTGTGCCAGGGCCTCACCTCCCTTACAGCCAGGAATTCCTTCAATGTATTTCCAGCTCTCAGCAATCTCCTAGCCCTTGCCAGGTTTTCTGACGGAAAGCAGGGTTCAAAGAAGACTTCTTTGAAGCCAGGATTAGTTCTGGGCTGTTCTGAGCAGAGCCCTGGGCTTGCTCACCCACCCTTGCAACATCGTGCTGGCTGCCAGCACCAGAGAAGTTGAAGCTGTGGGAGATCAGGGAGGAGGGAGAGGCAAAAATCCCCCAGAATGACAACATGCAACAAGCCTACAGGGATCCAGGTGAACTGCCACAAAAACAACTGGGAAAATTATTTCTTTGGGCTTGGAGGACATTTGATCAAGGAGCTAAACACCAGTCAGAAGCCCCACAGCAAGAACTTCATAGAAGATCCCACCTTTGACCCCTCAGTCCCCAAAAGGTGCCCATTTCCTCTGTGGGACTCAGAAGAAAGGCAGGAACAGGATTGAGTGGGAAGCAAACCCAAGTTCCTGAGAGCACAGGGTGGGAAGGGAAGAGGGATTTTTGACTGAACACTGGCATGGATGCCTCTGAGAGCTGCCTCCAAAGGGAGTGGACTTCAACCTGCTGAGGCCTCAGAGGGGTGTGGAAGGCACCAGAACTCACCCAGCCTTTGCAGTTAGCACCATCATCTTCATGTTGTTTTCTTTATTATGTGTTTATTAACAGTTTGGTTTCTCAAATAAAGGTGATGCTTTTCATTTCCTCAACAGCCGCTCTCCTTGCCAGGAGCATTTGTTGCACATGTAAAGCCATGGCAAGGACATCAAGATATTCACACATGAGAGCAGCTTTTAAAATCCTCTGTTAACAGCTCCGGCCTGTGTTAGAGTGTTTAATTGAACACGTCCCTCTTCCAGCGAGCAAGGTGCTCTGCCCTCTGCTTCACCCTGATTCCCACAAGCAGCCCTGAATTCAGCAAAAGAGGACTCTGTCCTGAGGTGGCTGGGACAGTGGCTCGGCCACAGCCCCCTCCCAGACCCCATGCTGGGGCTGAGGCTCTGCCCAGTTCCCTCAGGCAGCTCCATCCGTGGTCACCGCTCCTCCTGCTCGGCCTGTGAATGAGGAGGAAGCAGCTGGAGAGGGAAAGCTGCAGGAGGGATCTCATTTCCCCCTGCCCTGCCCTGCCGCCGTCCCCAGGCCGGGCTTTGGGGGCTCCTCGGGATCCACCACCACAAGGCCGAGGTGAACTTCTCCTGGGAGGGCAGGAGAACATCTGGA